CAATACCACAACAATTGAGAGAGGATGTTCTACAGTGTTATCATGACTCCTTAATGGGAGGGCATCAAGGTCAAGATAGGACATACAACACAATCAGGTACAAATATTACTGGCCAAAAATGTATTCTGACATAGAGAAATATGTAAAATCATGTGAAATTTGTCAACAATCAAAAAGGTATCATGGCCAGAGAGCACCCTTACAACCATTACCAACAGGAAGTCTATTCAGTCGTGTCCACATGGATATACTAGGACCTATACACAAGGTAAATGGATTTCAGTACATTCTTTTGATTGTAGACTCATTTTCGAAGTGGCCAGAAGCGGTAGCCTTGAAATCTATAGAGGCAACAGAGGTAGCCAGGGTATTGTTTACAGAATTCATATGTAGATATGGTTCCATGAAGACTTTAATTACAGATAGAGGCCAGAATTTCATGTCAAAAGTTATTCAAGAATTGTGTAGAATGTTTGGCATAGAACACAGGGCAACCTCAAGTTATCACCCTGAGACCAATTCAAGCTGCGAAAGGATGAACAGTACAATCAATCAAGCATTTAGGTGTTTTGTTGATAAACAACAATCTAATTGGCCACAACTTCTACCAGGTATTTTAGCCTCTTATAGGTTTTCACCAGCAACTGAGTCTACTGGGTATTCCCCTTACTATTTGTTGTATGGTAAGGAACCCCTTATGCCACTAGATACTATGGTACCAGTAAGTATGGGACAAAGTACAGTCACAGACAGACTACAAGATATACAGACTAACTTAGAGGTAGCAAGGGATATAGCTAAAGAGAATCAAGAAGCTGCAAAGATAAAGACTAAAACCCAACATGATAAAAAGGCGAAACTACCACAGTTCAAGGTAGGTGATAGAGTATGGTTACATGTGCCTAAAACTCCAACAGGTTTAACACCTAAACATTGTAGAAAATATCATGGTCCATATTACATTGTAAGGGCTAATGCTAACATGACATACAAACTAATAAGGTGTAGTGATGATCGTTTATTGAGATCTTTGGTACATGCAAATAGATTGAAGCCTTATGTAGATCCAGAGACAAGACCAACAAATATACCAAGAGTTCAACAGGGACAGGTATTACAGGATGACAATCATATTGATCAAGGTAGTAGTAGTATTAGTGATAGTAGTAGTGAAAGTGATCAGCAGCCACCTCAGGTACAAGAAGTTGAGCGACTCTTGGCATGTGGTAAACACAATGGAAAAAAGTGTTATAAGGTGAAGTGGCGTAATGAGAAAAAGAGTACATGGGAGTATGAAGAAAATATTCCAAGAAATTTAATAAGGGAATACCATATCACCAAAACAAACACTGGTAAAGTAAGGAAAAGGAAAACTAGATAAGAAAGCAAATCGATACATCATGCATGCATTTAAGTCCCATATTAGTTAGTTGTTTGAGTAAGTACATGTAGGCATTATATGATGTATGATATGGTATTGTAAAGAAACTATAGCAGTTTATTGTTTGATATATTCTATGGTACAAGTATACAACACAGGTGAGGTATAAGAGATGATGCTATTAAATTAAGGTAAGGGTATCAGGTGTAAATGTAAAGATAAAAGAGTATTAAGTGAGAAATAATAAAGTAAGTGAAATGTAATAAAGCAAATGAAATGATAATAAAGCAAGTGAAAAATAAAGAGAATATCTGGTTCCAACCAAGAGGATTAAAACACAGGTCTATTTAATGTACAAGTAGATCTGCGGATCCCAGGAAGATCAAACCTTAAAGAAAAGGTTAACCTAGGACAACGTGCGACCTAGTCTGAGTTATTTTATGGCTAAAACCCCACATTACAAATGCAGTAATAAGACGTTGTTATCTGTGTATGTAATTGTGTAGCCAGTGTCTTAACGTCTAATTAAAGGGGCAGGTAGTGGCTCACGAATGCGGCAACCCCACCTTGCTGTCATTTATACAGTAAGGTAAGTCCAAGTTCTGACATAAGCACGTAGTACATATAGTGTGTAGAAGCGTTAGTTAGAATAACATATGTAGTTCAAGTGAAAGTAAAACAAATGTAGTCCAAGTGAAAGTGAAAGAAATGTAGTTCAAGTGAAATCCTAAGGAAAAAGGATAAGATATAGTGAGCCAAAATAAAAGTGTCAATATTGCATGGCCAACCCTGCTAATATTTTTAAATGTCTTAACCTGTAAACTAATAAAGTGTTAGGATTATTTACTAATATTTAGTATAGTGCCTTCTGGTAAATATAGTTACTGGGTGCAAACTACTTCCTGGGAGCTAGACACTAATTGGGACCAGTTAATTTGAGAATGACAACTTATAATAATCTTAATTGTTCAAGGTATATAATTAATTAATCCTAAATTGGATATCTATGTACAACTTAAATTGAATTCATGGACTGCTACAGTCAGTTTACATTGTTTAAGAAGTTCAATTGCAAGGGATTATCTGCCTTACTTCTCTTATACATGTACTTCATCAATGTGAGTTTCTCATTATTATTTAAATGTGCCAGACAAAGGTCATATACCAAAGTATTATGGTACAGATAAAGTTTGCACAAACAATTATGATGTGCATCATTAACAGTGTTTATAAACAAAACTTAGTAGAAAGGTAGGATTTAGTGCAAGTTACTCTTAACTAAATATGGTTATAATAGGCCATAAAAGATTTTTTTTTCTCCTTTACATATGATTGTAATTTTTAACTCAAGAAAATACAGGATTGGATTGTGCCAAGTTGATAAGTTTTTACTGGCAACAGAATCATACGCGTAAAATTCTGTGCCGGTGCATAATGAGTGATCAATTACCTTTGTTGGTTGTTAATTACAGTTTGGGTATTTTCACAAAGAAATTGTCCTGTTTATAATTGTTTTATTGAGTTTAATAATTATTATGGTAGTTTATGATGATTTTAGTTAGATAAACAGTATGTAAATTGTAAAGTAGAGTATACAAATAGGTGTTTAAAAAAAATATATATATATATGCGACCACTCTGAACACTAAATTGCTTAAAATAAGAATTACTAGCAGACAATTTGAAAGTTGGTAGACTTATGGCCTCGAAAATTTATGGAGGAGTTATTAATCTTCTAATATGATGAATTTCTTGATTAATGAAAATGATGCTGAATTATATTAACTCTGATAATGCTACAATTATAAATAATTTGACTTTACTTCAGGAAGGAAAGACAATATGACACGTCCTCATCTCCAGGCGATGACATCAACATTGGACGTTGATATAATATTTCTACATATTTTATACTTTGACAGAATTTAACATTACAGGTTTATATTTTTATTTGGACTGATTAAACGGAGTGATTTTCATTTAGAATGCGGGACGCATTCTTTGGAGGGGAAGCAAATGTAACGGAGTGATTTTCATGTTGTATTTTATAATTAATATCTTATACTTTTACTTTGTTTTTACTTTGTAAATTAATTAATGGAAACATGATACAAAAAGCATTTAGATAAACAACAGGTCATATAGTACACCTGGGATATCTCTGGTCAGTTTCTCACATTAAATATGCAATCATTACAATTGTTCAGAGCATCTTCAGACTTACAAATGTTTCTTTAATTTACATTTAATTTACATTTCTATATCTTGGATTCTAATTAGGATTTGAAGCAGTCTTCCTATTGTTAAACTTTTTACATAACAGATTTGAAGTGATCATGTGATGTCTGGTTTTGAAGAATATACTATATGCCATGTGAGATTTGGGACACTTTCGGCCTAGACTTCAAAAAGACATAACTAGATTTAGCAGTAGCTTAGAAGTGAAAACAAGTGAAATAAATAAAAGATAGAAATTAAAACATCACACTTTTGTGTACAATTAATATAAAGAAAGCCCGGTCATACTTACTTGAAATAGTGACCCAAGCTAAAACTGGTTTTGAACATCAATCACTGAACAAACTTTATTCAAACATTGTTAAAGTGTGTTTTACAAGTTAAAGAGACCTTGATATGCCAGTCGTGCATACCTAGAAGAAATTTATCTACTTTAAGGCAAAAGAACAGTTAATACTAAATAGTTCTGAAATATATTCTGGTTTTGTATAACTTAGGAGGCAAACAGGATTTCATCCCGGAATTATTATAAAAGCAAGTAAGTTATTAAATACATACACAAATATACATTTTGTTAAAGTAAGATGGACATAAACCAAAACTGTTTTATCGTGTTGAATTTAAACAATTTTGGACCTCTGTTTATTCTTATATACATGTATACTGTTACTGTAGTAGTTTTCATCAGGAATTACCATATTTCCTTTGTGTCATCGTCCATGTCATGGAAAAGTGGGCCCACCACCGTGCATGATGTAGGAATGCACACTTATCAGATACAATTACATGTCAGTTATTTCAGAAACAACCATGATGTGTCATATCTTTCCTGATCTACCAATTTCCTTCTTCCCCGTCGCTAGACTAAGGCCATTGGTTGTTAATATTTGGTTCTGGCTTGTGATAACATAATTAGAATATACAGTGCTGGTGCCTCTCTTAGATAGGAATATTGGAATTGTTAGTTTTTGTGGCCTTAAATGTTGATTTTATTGGTTAAGTATTGTAAGAGGATGTGTCAGTTTAGATAGTCATTTTTATAAAACGGCAGAATGGATAAGTTGTTCATAGAGAACTATTTTTGGTAAATTTAATGGTATGATATTATATTGTTTTATTAATTTTCATGTTTTATCATTTACTTCTACAGTTTCACAATGTTATATATATTGATTCATGTCATGCATATTTGCAATATACAGAGTATGTAAAAGTACATTTTATACAAAATTGTCAGAATACTTCAAATTTAGTATTTACGTTCTAGTTAAATATAAGCACAGACTTATAGAGAAGGCTTCAGTATATCTCTTGTAGTGTGAAATATTGATGCATGGATTTTTAAACATAGCTAATTTTAAATTATTTGTCTATTTTTAGGTACCCCACTGACTCCTATCTCTCACACAGAAAGATCCCGAGACAAGGATTTGGTGGCAACTACAAGCGCAACAACAGTGACGGGTTAAACTCCCCCACAACACCTACGTCACCCTCTATGACATCATCAAATGTGACGCAGTACACTTCAGCTACATCACAAAATACCACAGCTTCCTCAGAAATGAGGTCACTCGGAATGGATATTACGACAAGAAAAAGTGCCGCAACTTTGATGAATACATCACCGACAAGCTCAACCAATCATGGGCAGTCCCAACCGTATAATAAACTTTCAGCACGGGTTTATATCGATCAATTGCCAAACAATAATGGACATCATATGACTACACAGCATAATAAAGTCAGACCCCCAAGCATGGAGGCTGGGGTGGTAGAGCCAAAACGGGCCCCTGTTAGTGCTCATGTAAAGAACTTTCAGATCAAAGCTGAGGAATCGAAATTGACCCCCAACAAACAAGGAGACAAAGCATCGCTTATTGGCAGGACTAATATTATTAACATTGCAGAGAAATTTGGAGGTAGTAGAGAGAATATACGTCGCTCAAATGAGAATTTGTTGAATATAAGTGGTGGATCATCAAGTGAGAATCTAACCAAGGACTCACACGCTGTCACCAAATCTACAAGTAAGGAAGATTTGGTAAGACAGTCCCATGAACGTTCATCATCACATGATACGACTCCTATGCGACGTCAACAGGGTTCAATGGACCTTAGTATGTCACAAGAGATCACACCCATGAAACGTCAACAGGCTACCATAGATTTAAACAAGCCCAATGATAGCTTAATAATAAACACTCCCTCCCCTAAACGAAATCAGGATTCATCTACAAGTTTCGATGAAACTCCGTCACCAAATCAACATGTTAGGAACAATAGCTATGAATCACCTTTGCAGTCTCGACTTTATGAACATTATGAAGGAAAGCCGGACTCATTGAAGACATACCAGGATCAGAATGAGGCTGAGAGCTCTCCAGTAGAGGAGATTGTCAAAAGCTCTCCAGTGAAAGAGCTACAAAGCTCTCCTGTAAAAGAGGTGCATATACCTAAGAGCTCTCCTGTAAAAACATTGTCCAAATTCTCTCCTGTTTTGGAGGATAAAATCCAGATCAGTCATAAAAAGGACGCTAGTTACGACAGTGTTTGCAGTACAACTAGTGATGGAAGTATAAAACACAGTCGGCAACGATCTCGTGATGAAATCGAATGTGATGAGGAAATATTGAATCTAGCCAATCAAATTAAGGTAAAAGATCGTAGAGTGTCCGCAATCGTTGCCCCAACCCAGGAACTGCGTATGACTACAGATTATGTTGGTGGATTATTTGATATTGATGTTGATCCACTAAGGATAAACTCGAAGAGTCCTGATAAATCTAGTTCACCAATAAGACGAGATAGTCAAGAATCCAGCAGTCGCTCATTTGATGGTGCTAACAGGTGAGTTAGATGCTCCATGTGAATATATTCAGAGATGTAATTTACACCCACTTGAACATTAGAATATTGTGAAAAAGTGATATACCTTCTCGAGTCTGTACATATATTGTATTTTTATTATCCCCACATGAAATGCATAGTACTGTAGTATTGCATCTCTATATTCTCACTAAAATCTTGGTCTTCCTTATTTCCTATTTCTCGAGCAATTTTATTCTGTCTAGTTCTTTAGATATGTCTATCTATTCATCATTTAATAAATATTGTAATTGATGTTTTCCAGGAGCGACTCTAGCCTTTCTCCCTATCTGTCAGCCCCTGAGGCTACTCGTGATGAGACCATCTCACGGGATGCTGTCGACAGCTACGCGGCAGATACACTGGAAAAACAAAAGGTAAGAATTGTATTCTTTCAACTAAATTGGACACATTACATTTATTCAACAAATGGGTTACAAGTGTGAAACATTGTGTACAATTCACACTTGAATAATAGCATAAGATGTTTTAGCAGTTCTACAATATTGATTGATTAAATGTGGAATGGTGAGAAATCTTATTTGACCCCACCTCTATTGCTTCATTCTAACGTTAGAGGAAACTTGCACCAACATAAAATCTAAAAATCACAATGACATGTGTGCAGTTCAATGAAAATGAGTGAATTTATTTTAAAACATTTAAGTTTTGTGATTTTGATTCTCATCTAAAACTAGCTAGCACTCTGGTCAGTAGGAGGGTTAATCCAAAAGTTCTGAACCGTTTGTTCTAAAAATCTTAATACTTTATGAATATTTTTCATATTTAGCCACAACCACCCCATATTTTATAATATTTCACTGTTATATTTCAGGAGGAATTGGTGACAACTCTACGTAAGAAGCTGACCATTCTACAACATGAGAAAGACAGCTGTGAGGCTGATATTAAACTCAATGATGAGCTGGGGGAGAAGGTAACTATGATTTTTCAGTATTCAAGCAACAGAATTCAATTGAAATTCATTCAGTTGTGAATCTGGAACATCATCTACAACATGTTCTTTCCAATAGTTTTATTTATTTTGCTTCTTTGAAAGAGAGCTTCATCTGACACCCAGAATATCCAGAATATTACAATAACTCTAATATTATGATCGGTTCAGATGATTTCTAAGTCAAAATAATACTGGCTAAAAATACTAGAGCGAATATTGCTGTGAACTGAAAAATTCACTATGTTTGATTTTAACTTGCACAGAAACCTTAATAACATCTTTCAATCCCCAAATACTGAGTTTTTACATGATTGCCTGCAGAACATGTGTAGTACTGCCATCTTTTGAAAGTTAAACACATTAAATCAGCTAAGCAGTGTGTAAAATATGAAGCATGATACCTGAAGACATGGCAAGACAGATTAATGGTAAATAAAAGCTTTAGTATCTTTACTTATCCTCCACTCTTATATATTTCAGGTAACCGAACTGGTCAAAAAGAAATGTGCTCGCGAGAGTGAGTTTGATAAATACAAACTCTATGTAGATGAACTTGACAAAATTATGGTCCTCATGTTGAAGTTGTCTGGAAGGCTAGCTAGGGCTGAAAATGCGGTCAACAGTCTACCAGAAGATGCTTCTAAAACTGAGAAAGTAAGTTTTTTCGAAAATAGAATAGATATTGTTCAAAGTGGAAAACATGTAACATTATTATATGTAGAATATGATAAATATTTTTAGATCTTATTTCCCAGTTACGTATAGAACTTTGAATGTAAAATTGTATTTGTATATGTAAAGGGGGTTTCATAATTTAATACAACAACTATCTGTATTTTTGTTAAAAACGGAAGTTTAAAAATTGTCATCTGTCATAAGTAAGAGCACTAAGGGAGGGATGCATAAAGGTGGGAAAAATATAAAAGATGGTGCTATTGATCCATAGATAATAAACAAACTTTTATGTGTTTTGTTTCCAGGGGCCACTATTGTCAAAGCATGAGGAACTGAGTAAGAAGATGGAAGATGCTAAAATGTTAAAGGAAGGCATAGATAGACGAAGTCGCCAAGTCTCAAAATATCTTGTCAATTATCTCAATGAGTTGGAATTTGCAGATTATGAACATTTTGTAAAAATGAAATCAAAATTGCGAATTGACCAACAGGAAATAGAGGATAAAATCCAAATGGGACAAGAGCAATTAACTGAACTCTTAAAAAATGTGAATGTTAGTACATAGTGTTATACATAAATGGAGTATATGTACTAAAATGTAAGTCTCGGACTGAATAAAAAACTAAATTTGATTGATGAAAACTGCAGGTCAGGTTTATTATTTAAAACACTGAAAACACCAAATATTTATTTAATATTTTATTGGACTATGGATGTTAATTCAGTACAGACTAGTAGCAAAGAGAATTGCCATGGTAACTATTCTGATTCATCAATGTAGAAATTGATAGATGAAATAGCTAATTTCAGTTAATGTTAACATTCTCAACTAGAGTTAGAAAACTTTTAACACGAAGTAAACCTAAAACATGAGCTTATATTTTCCATGTATTTATGATTTTTATGTAGAACTTTGTAGATAACCATTTTAAATGATCGCATCAAGTATGTCTTCAATATTGCTTTTTGAAAAAGTCAAGTTGTAAATATTAATTCTAGATATTTTATTTTTTCAGTTTTAGAATCAAGATTTAAAATGTTTTTATTATTGTATTATTTATTGAATGCTTGGATTAAAAAAACTGTAAAGAAAAACAGCTTTTGAATGACTATTTGCGGCATCTACCAATTACCTTCTCATTTTACTACTGTAATATTTCTGTAGATTGTATAGTATGGTTACCATGGCAACAATAACCTTTGATTATTGACCACATCATCAACTTTGGCTTTCTGCGTAAGCAATGATATGATTATTTTTGTTACTATAGCAACAAGGCTTTGTATTAAGTAATGTATGCTTTTGTTTAATAAATGTACATGTATGTGTCCAGGAAATATGAGTTTACTTGTTTGTATTCATAATTGGTTTAAGAAATCAGATCAACTTTTCCAATTTAATTCATCTTCACTCAATCTTCCTAGGGATAGTTATCCTAAAGAATAATTTTAATGTATAATAGTATATTGATACACTTTTCAACTTTATCCCAGCTGCTGAACCTTAAGATTTCTCATAGTTCTTTAATGTTCATAAGATTCACCTGTTTTGAACAATCGTTTTGTCCTAAACTTATCCTATTTAAAGTAGCGGTCACACTTGCCGTGTGGGCTCACCGTTCGCCACCGCGTGGCTAATTTAAAAATTCATTTTTCAATTAATTAATTAATTTTGTATTTCATGTGAAAATTTTTGTTTTGCCCACCGTGTTTCTATGCTGTGCCCCGCCGTCTGCCCCAAAAGTACTTACACGGTGGCGAACCGTGAGCCCACACGGCATAAGTGTGACCACTCCATAAAAGGATTCACTCTTGTTACTCAATCAGTTCTGGTTATGCTCTACTAGCTACCCCCACCTTAATAAAATGTTATTTTCAACAACAAGATAGACTAAGATGTTTCCCAGGATAAAAGCAAAAAAACTGCAAGATACACAACTGCATACTGGCTGAAATGAACACATAGATCACCATAATCATAGTCACTCATTCGCCATACTAGGCTAGCTGATGTTAGCATACTATTCCATATAAATCAAAAACAAATCACGAACCATATAGCGTTGTGATGTCAATAGTGAATCATATTCCTCAAATAAATACAATTTACTCGTACAGAATCTTGGCAATGTTCAACACAGTTAATACTTACAACTGTGAATTATTAATTGATGTAATTCTCGAAAACAGAAACATGTTGTTTTTCAGAAGTGGAATTGCTTTGAAATATGTCATATATAATATAGCGCATAATTTAATCCCCACATATCCTAAGATACTATAAGCATAACTGCCTCTTAAACAGTCAGGTGGACATAATACATGTAATATTTGCTGGCTGGTAATGTATAGAAGGGAAGTAATGTCACAGCAAGTTGAACTGTCGCACATATTAACACTATTGTTAATAACAATTTGTTATTAATTTAGCTGCCTGTCAAGAAAACGTCAGTTTGCTCATGTTTCCTGGAGGCAATAGACTCAAATAGAGTGAGAAATGTTAGTCAAATACATGTGATTTTTACTCTTAATTTTATGGAAATGTGAGAAATACTTGCATTTCATCCACATTCTAAAGATGAAATTGCAGAATTGAGAGAAGCATTTACACAGGAGGATATTTTGATTTTGTATCAACATGTAGTAGAAGACTATGCTACTGCTAAGGCATAATGACTATAACGAGGCATATAGAAGATCATATCACCATTACTGGAATTAGACTGATTACACATTCAGACGTCATTTTATATAAGGACTAAAGACATCTACGGTGCTTATTAGTGTAAGCCTATATATTGAACGAAATTGTCTCAAATTACAATTGAAGAAACATCGCACAGGACATAATCATAAATGGCATCATACACTGTACCAAAAGAGACACTTAACTATGAAGATTTCTTCCCTGGTTTCAAGGCATTATTTGAAGCAGAAGAGTATGCAAGCACCCTTACTACAGATGAGGTAGAGAAGGCTAAAACTGAACTGAATGAAGATCCAAAGGAAAGAGTCGCTGCAGTTCAACAGTTACGTGATTGGATCAACAAACAACCACACTTTGAATGTTGTACTGGTAATGAGAATTACAATACAAATACTGAAAATTGAGATGAACTGATAAATATTAACCATGATTATTAAAAGAAAGCCTAACCTTGTATTCGCGAATGCAGCTTACGCCCGTCGGCTACCGGATTAACCTACTTTTTTAGTACCAACTTATTTAAATATGAATGAATAGTGGGAGGTACTATTCATTAAAATTGAGATACCCAAAAAAGTGTAGGCTAATCTGGTAGCCGACAGGCGTTAGTTGCATTCGCGAATATAAGCTGATTTTTGCCTCTGAATCAGTTATTTCCAGAATACAATTGCAAACTTACTTTCATTTCTAGTGTTACATTATACATACAGTAGTCTTGGGTGTTATAATAATGTAACTCTTGATATTGGAATATTTATAATTATATCAGTGAATTCTAGGCTCCACCATTTTCAGATACGCTATACTTGTTGTCATTTCTACGACGCTGTAAGTTCAGTCAGCTAGAATGTCACGCAATGCTTGAGAGAAACGTTTGCACCCTTCCCTCGGAGGTCCCAGAGTGGTCCTGTAATACTGACACATTGACAGAGAGGTTCAGGAATATACTAAAGGAAGGGTATATTAAATATTTAGATTCTTTTCTAAGTATACAATCAAAAACTGGCACAAAAAATATTTCAGATAAATGATCAAATCATGGGACTTTGTCCTTGCGTGGCCAAATTAAAGGGGCCCATCGGAGAGTTAACTTTTGGATTCAATATTTTCAAAAGCCATGTCAATGTTTCCCTTACAATTCATATTTTATTTTCTAAACGTATTAATTAAGTTGTCTAGTTCCAAGAGCATCTCTACGGCTCAGAACGCCATGTAGAACCCACCAATCGTATTCATGACATCATTCATTGTCATAAATCTTGCCGCAGATTGCTAGTTTCCTGCTGTTGTCAATTTGTCAACCTACAAATGTAATACCATTTATTAAAACAATACTTCTTGCTTCCGAAGGTTTTTGATTCCTCTTCCACATAGGGACGACGAGGGACGCAGGGTGGTATTGATGCGTTATGGGCAACTAAGGCTAGCGGATCCGAATCTATACGACTGGAGGGAATACCTGAGGTTGATTAGTGTAATGTTAACTATTCTTCAAAGAGAAGAGGCTACACAGGTAATGAGTAAGAAATAAATGCAAAGTAAAAAAAACTTGCTTCATTTTTAAAAAATGTTTTACCTTCATTGATGATAATTATTGTTTTAGGTAAATGGCCTTGTGTTTCTTTTGGATGACACTGGAATAAAAGTGCAACATTTAACATTCGTACCTATACAGAAAATTAGGACAGTGTCGAGAATATTCTTTGTGAGTATTGTATTGTGTTGTATTGTCAAATTGAATTGTACTGTATTGTATTGTATTGTATTGTATTTTACCACTCATACAATTAATTACAAAAACACAAACTGCTTACTAAAGATAAGATAAATAAACAAACTACGCAGTTCTGCCATCTTTATATTGCTCACGCTCTAATATTTCATGAACGATTGACTTGATAGTGATGGTGCAGTACTAAAAGTCATTTGAAAATATTTTAAAGGCATATTGATCACTCGAAAAAGGCACTATGCATGGCACTTTAAACACATATGCTATGTTATATTTCAGTCTAATTTTCCTGGGCGTGTGAAGGCCCTTCACTTATACAATGCTGGGGATCTAGTGAACGCCATCCTTACTCTTCTGGGTCCTCTCATGCCTCAGAAGATAAGGGACAGGGTATGTATTGTTTGCATAAGGAGTAGGGCATGTGGCATGGGTTGTGGTACTGTTTGCGCAAACATGAGAACACTGCAGGAAACGTGACAAAGACAGACTTTACCCCCGGGCTTTACCTAACCTTACCTTCATTGGTTTACCATGTCCAATGTGAATGACAACTCTTACAACAGCTTCTTTGGTTTCCAGATTGTAATCCATAAGAATAAACTTGAAGATGTATACAAACACATTCCACAAAGGATCTTACCACTTGAATATCTACCAGACGATTATGAAGGACCCTCTGCAGGATATGTGGATGATATTAGAGGTAAACGTAAGTTTCACTCATTGGTCAAGCCCAGAGAAGATGAATTGGGAAAATACAATGAATGTGAACACCTGCTTATCTGAACACTTTTGCCCGATCCCTGTGGTGTTCGAATTAGACAAGTTTTACTGTGCGGCACATTTATATGGCTTAACGTATCCAAGACTATGGGCGAAGGAATAGAAGAGTAGGGTTGTATTTTTACTAGCCATGCAAGTATTCTGTAATCACATTATCATGATTATGATCGTATTGATTAAGAAACTTCAGCTAGAAGTATTTGAAGGATAAAATTGTCAAATTTACAGTGGGTGGGAACGCTTAATTTTTGTTAATTACGGGAGAAACGTTGATGGCTGTAGCTTTGGAGAAAGAAATTCTACGCCTGAAAATTATAAACTGCACTGTACGAATCGTATATTTCAGACTTCTTCCTCAGAGAGCTGACAAGAAAGGAAGTGAGAGACCGTTTGGTGTTCCTAAGCACAGAGAAGATGAGATATATGCCAGAGAAGAAAGACAATGGCCAACAATTAGAACAGACATTTAGGAAATTGAACGTGGACTGATTTTTGAAATGTTGTGTCGTACACCCAAATATACATGCTATTTATAGCCTATATATAAATATATAACGTACAATGTCATTTATGAAAGATCTGACTTTCAATCTTGGATTTTTCAGCCACAATCAAATTCTCTATTCCATACTATTTCATTATTTTAGTATAACACATAAAAACTTTATTCATACATGTTCACAGTTTTCAACAATCATTTCTACCCATGTTGCCCCAAGCGTGTCACAATTGTAGCTTAAAGCTGGAAAACAACTTCCGAAAAAGTGACGAGGCGAAAAACAAAGCTGTTAGATCCAAAAAGCGACGAGACAAGCGATTGCCTCGTCTGCTTCATCCTGGCTTCACTACAACATTTCCATTATTTAGATTTAAAAAATGGCGGCTATGTAACTCAGACAGATAACCCTTTACGTGGTGAGATTATGCACACTTGATGAAAATTAAAATTTATCAAAATTATACAATCAATTTACAACTCAACATTGATAGAGGGAAATTTTCAAATGCCTCGTCTGCTACGCAAGAACGTGTTGTTTCTTTATTTCGAAATGTTTGTCGATCCATGGGCGTAGCGCCCGGTACGCTGGGTACTCACAGGCGTACCAGATGGTTGCAAATTTGCTCCAAATACAACCAAATTTGAAAATTTTCCTAGGAGAGGACCCCCAAATCCCCCTGAATGCTCTTTTTTTGATTCACTCAACTTTTGTTCCTGTGGTGGTGGCGTACTACTTAGAAAAATAGCGCTACGCCCATGCGATCGGTACTTTACTTTTCTGAAAGTGACTCACGCAAGGGATTTTACAAAATACTTTGTCGTGACAAAAATTACCCCCAAATTTCGTGCCATTTAACAACTAAGTTAGAATTGTGGATTATCAGGTATTCTGCCCATTGTTATTTGACATTCGAATGGAATTCGAAAACTTTAAAACCCGATTTAAGTATGAAGACAGATATTTTATAATTTAGCTACAATGACGAAAAATCTAAAATCATGTCAACCATGACCTCAGATCCATGACGTGAAAAGTTTTTGCCCATTTGACACGATGCAAATACATCCCCAAGAAGGCAGTGGTCAAAATATCAGACTGAGAGGGTGGTATCTGGGAAAATATGAGGGTAGTTTCATGACTCGGAGAGTACATGTACATGATGAATAAAATGGACGATATCCCAGGCTCCCGATTGACTAACACGACATGCACAAATTACTTTTTTTCATGCCGATAAACCTAATGTAGAGTATAGGACTTTAATTCAGAGACATTATTCACTTGTATTGGTCTATTTGTCTATTGAAGCAGTAACATGTGAAGTTTATCAGAAATAAGCAAAGACGTCTCTCGGGGGACGTAGATGCGAACAGACTAAACCCCGGGGACTAAACCAGATAAATTACCAGTTTCGTTCAGTGTCAAATCCGCTATAGCCATTAAACATAACGAGACTTGACATTTCTTGTTTATTTTGTAAAAGGGGAGTCTTACTGCAAATTCTGCGTTTTAGGTATGTTTTGGTTTAGTTTTAACCTTCTTATTGATTTCAAACAATGGCAAGATATTGGCAACGAGTTTGAAAGTTGCAAATTGTATGATCGTGACCGTAATTGATCTTGTATATTTGTTAATCACCAGAATTCTGCAACCCGGAAGTGAGTTCATTTTATTTTTTGTAGATTTATTATCACATGAAGTTTATCCAGCAATTACTTCGTCCAGTTTGGCTCTATACTGTTCTCTGGAAGTCAATGCCGCAGGAAGTTCTATCAAGTCCTTTTTGGTCCCTTACGGGTTTTTGCCTCATCAGTGTAGCCTTTCCCAATGGCCATGAGTGTGTAGTACTAGGGACATCTTGAAGTCTACATCATTGAGGAGGCAACCCCCACAAAAAAATCCGTAAAATACCAAAAGGACTTGATACAACTTCCTGTAGTCAACACATTCCATATCATATATGAAAATGTTAAGAGAACATGGTAGGCCTTAAAAGGAGGAGGTGATCGCTCAATACAAATTCCTGTGAATCAAAACACTATCACAGTTGAGTGTCAGCCTTAGCAGGGGAGTTCATATATGACAGTCTTGACCCTTATTCACTTGAAAAGTGCAACAGTGAAAAATTGCATGATTTTGAAAGAGTTTTTGGCCAAGGTGGATTCGCTTGAACCCCTCGAACCCCTTGCTATGAGCCTGCGTCTATCTGGACTTATTCACCAGTCAAACAGAGAAATAAACACAAAGCGCTCAATTATACTGGCAAAAGATCAACTATTAGTGATCTATTAATGAGCTATATGTATAATCCTCGAAAGTGATAAGTCCATATGGTTATTATAATGGGGCAAATACAATGTTTTGACTTTCTAACTCATTTTTCTTTTACAATACAAGTCCTTCATGCGCATGGTGAGAAGCCAAGGTACATGTACATGAACATTCAAATACAGTGTGAAATATAAGGTAGGATTTATATTATCAGTGTGCAAAATTGAATAGGTTGTTATACTTTTTTTTTTATTTTAGATTGAGATCCTTTCAACATGTGGAAATTTAAAGTGTCAAAGTTCAAGAATGCAGCTCCTGTGACACCTAAATTTGAGGTAATTTTTATTGGTCCATAATCTGGAATAAAAAGGAAGCGGACGTGTTTTGTGTGACAGCAATTAAGAAAATGTACTGTAGGGGTTAAAACCTGTCATTGAGTAATGACATAATGTTATTGGATTTTATATGGAAATAGTAAGTAAGTAATGTCATTATGATTACCATATTCAATTTGCTATCTGATTTCATGACGATAATAGTTTTTAGCTTTTTCGGCATTTTAGAATCAGGATTAAATAGAACCTTCACAAGATACCCTTCTCAATTATACTACTCTTGTTATTTTTGTAGAATTGCATCACAGACCTGAATGTTGGATCTATTGGTTTATCTGGGGGTCAACATATCAAAGCAAGCACAAACTTCATTGCTTTCAACACAGAATCCGGAGGTCAGTAGGTTTTTATGTGCAATACTACAATTTTATTTTGAATAGTCTGAGATTCCACTGTGGTGACACATTAACCCTTTTCTCAAGAAGGTCTCATAGAATGTGTCATAGAAATTTTACTGTTGAAGTTAAATTTTGTTTATACTCGTAAATTCTATAGAGATGTAAAGGTGTCGCTAGTGTCACTGTACTTACTTTCAATAGCCAGAAATGATAGACAGATTTAGTTTATTTGATATATGAATTTACTTACACATTGTTTAAATAATATAATAGATATAAAAATAATTGATGTGAATGGGAAAACACTTAAGTCTAAATTATTGAATTTCATTCACCAAATTCCAGAAGGTTATATTTCAGGACTGATACACATATTTGTGTGTCTCTTCTCTTCCAAATTATTATCAATTTCCCAACTGGATTCAGTGCCAGTAGCTGATGATTGAAAACTGCACAGGATGAAGTATGCAAATGAGTCTAGTTTGCTGAATTAAAAATCAACTTTTACAGAGTTTCCTAGTCCCTCTGCCTATAACTCCCTTATGGAATCCCAGGGGTGGAATTAACTCACACACAGAACATTCCTTTTTACTGCAGGGGGAGGTGCCCTAGGTATTGTAGCTGCAGATGCCAAAGGAAGACAGCCAAGACCCACTCCTACATTGAAGGCTCATGCTGGTGAGTTAATTTACTGTCTTCCTTCCCCTCCTGTGGTTATTTGCTTTGTACCCATGCTATATCACTTGTACCTTCATGGGCTTGTAATGGAGACATTGTGACTTGAAGTTGAAGGCCATTTATGTTGAAACAACATGATATGTCCTTTTTACTAATATGAACAAGGGGTTTCATAATAACTGTTCCCCTCAACTTCCAATCCTAAACAACAGAACCCTTTTGTTATATATCACATGAAAGCATATTCAATATTGGACTCATAGAAACCTGGACATAGAAACAAATACTTTGCTTGACATATTGATACCTTTTTTACAAATTATACCCTGTGATTGACTAGCCTCCTTATTGCCCTCTCATGTTACAATCTGGGGGCAAACTTTTTACTTTATAAGAACGTTCGATCGGGCATAATAAATCAACATTTTTCATCAGATTTAATATATTTGTTAATTTTTGAAAATAGGATTCAAAGAAATAAATCTAGATTTTCTCAAAGGCATCTTATGAACACATAAACTCATGCAATACGGCACAATTTGAAAAAGATTTTAGTAAGCCATTTTGCCTCTCTTAATATTAGAGAAGCGCCCATCAAATAAAGTCACTTGCAAAATGTACTGTACTAACATAGGCGTAGCCAGGGGGGTGCGATCGCAAAAATGTAAATGTCGAGCTTTAAAATGCTTTTTATTTGAAGCTTCTAGTTCAATTTTGAAGGAAGTTGCATCAATTTTTGTAAAATTCAAAATAAATCTTAATTTTTTGGCTTGTTTATGCCACAATCTGACTGAAAACCGAAATTTCTTTGGCGATCGCACCCCCCTGACTGAAAGCTGGCTACGCCCCTGACTTTATTTTGAAAGATGCTGTCAACGTTAATTGTTAAGAAACATTTACTTAATAACAACTCATGTCTTACAGAAACATTTATTTTTCAACATGTCTATAAATACATAAACACAATAGACTTTACATGACTTAATAAAACCATTTCTAACAATCTATTTCAATTGTTGAAGGCAGAATCAGATCTAGCAAGATGCTGAACCAGATGGCACTCACTAATTTTTCAGTTTTAGAAATTTTGGGGATCATGTCATTCCTTGACTTGCCTGTTTCCTCAAAATCGCAAAAGTGTGTATACTGTATTTGAGGAAAACAAAATAATGTTACAATAATGTATTCTTTTTTAAATATGTAATTATAATTTTGATTGTTTGGGAGAATTTAAACATTTTTCCCATTTTTGTACTTTGAAACTTTAACAACTTCACAAATTGATAACATATCTTTGATCTTTTGGGAGATTTTATATTTGAGCTTGTAAGGAAAATATTGGCAGGTCAACTGCACCATTTGCTTGCAATTTTGTCACCCCCTATAGATTTGATTCTGCCTTTAATTGATGTTACAATTTGTGTTTATTAAACACTCGTACAGCTGAATTTTTGTAAATACATGTAGTTATTTGTAGCAAAACTTAAACAGTCTCTTGACAGCACCAGTATGACAACATTGATTTATAAATGTTTGCTATGCATTGTGGGAATTTGCAACCTCACCAGCATAATAAATGTGAATATGTGTAATGCATTGTGGGAAATTGGGATATCTCTAGCATATGACATTTCTCACTTTGCGCTCTTGATCCAATTTATACCCGAACATCTCTGAAAATATAAATATATCTTTATATCAGTCTTTCCAGTAAAAAATGATCAGCTGATCTGTGTTTTTCCTTTCCCCTGGCCCTAAAATGGCAAAATGAAAGAAAAGTCTTCAAGATAAACGTTGACCAAAGAGGATAAGGGATGACCTGACAGAAACTGCTCAACAGATTGTAAGGGCCTGATTTTGATATCTTTAAATGAATAATTTGCAATGAATTGGTTTATTCCAAAGATGAATTATCAAAGCTCGTCAAGAATGAACAATCTTACACTGGTACTCATTTTTAAAGGATTTTAGGAGGATTGTCACTAAGAACAGTTGCTATGAATTTTTAATAATTACTGTACTTGCTGTTAAGTCCAGTTCTTTGTTTAGGTTTTCTTCCTTTTCTTGGTTATCTGTGTGATGTGATCTTTGTTCTTCTTGTAGTCTTTGTTCTAATAGACCTGGGAAAGATTAAATATAAATTGAATACAAAAACTATGATTACCATTTATAATTCACTTATATTATCACAATTGAACTATTGCAACATCATATGGGGTAATGCATGTAAAACATTTTTGAATAAATTGCTTTTGGTACAAAAACGTGCAGTGAGAATAATCACAAATTCTGATTTTTTAGCACATAGCCCACCTCTTGGCCCTCTTTTTAAACAACTCAATTTCCTAGATATCTTTGAAATACATAAGCTTGAAGTTCCAAAATTTCTTTATCAATACACAACAAAACCTGTTGGCTTTCCTTTTGACATATTTGAAAATTATTTTACTCCAAACATAATATTTCATGAGCATGAGACAAGATTCCAAAATTGTCTTCACATGAAAAAATTTAGAACAATTACATATATATGTATAGGTCAACACTCAATAAAATATTCAGGTGCTCAGCTTTTGAATGATCTGCCAACTTCTTTGAAAACATCAACTTCCATTAACTGTTTTAAAAAGAAAATTCATATGATATCAAAATATGAATGAACTAAATTATTGCCAAACATATATGTACATTTTATTATTGTAATCAATATTATTCTCATTTGACTGAGTAAATATTTTTAATTGTTCTTTTTTTCTCATTTCCATGCTCAGATTACTATTAAATGTTATCACACTGATACACTTATTAAAAGTGTCAAGTGTTATTATGTATTTGATTTTAATTTAGAGAATAAATATTTTTAATAAAAAACAACAAAAAAAACAACATATATTTATATAATATACCAGTATATAAATATGAACAGTGCATATCAAATAGTGTCACTTTCACTGTCTTACTTTGTGAAATCAAAGATAGCTAAGAGGGTAGTCTTGCTTCAAGACTTTGTACCACTCCCCTATCTACTTCAACATATCAAATTGTGGGAAGGTGTGTAGATGAGGGGGGGGGGGACTCACAAGGGCTTGTAGCTAGACTATAAAGAGGGATGAAAAGGTAGAACTTTTATGAAATCCCATTTCCTGACCCTTCCCAAAACGTGACTTTGATTTGTATAAGTAAGGGGTTCAAAAGGTGAACTACCAATATGATCAGTCTCTTCCTCTGTTTAATTGGATTAACTATCACTTGAAGTCTTGCAGCACTGAACTATACAATATGTTAACGTATCATTTCCTAGCTTAAGGCTTTTAGAGTTCTATTATTTTATGAAACAGAACATGACTTGTACGTACTTATGTCAATTTACTGAAATTATTTGATTATTCAATTTGAGTGCATGGACCTGAATGATTTCACAACTTTGGAAAAAGCCTCTCAACAACAAAAGCCATTCAAAAATTTAATTGAGGTTGTTTACTTGTTATTTATCAATTACTTATTTGTTTCAACAGTTTTAGCGATTATAATGCAGTAAGTTAATGCATAAGTTATTTATATTTTTGATGAAATATGTGAAATCTCCAAAATGCTCCCAAATTTCCTTGCAAATAAAGAAAAATAGAAAAGAGAAATAAGTATCAGAGATATTTTTCTGAAAATAGCAACCAAAACCTATAAACCATGAATCAATAAAATAACTTTACCTTTCAGCTGCTCTAGTTGTGCCTCGTGCTTCTGTTTAAGTTCAAGCTGCAGTTTAAGTTGATCTTCAAGTTCCTCTGTAAAACACATAAAATATGACAATTATACCAATGAATCAATGATATAATTTTGGTTTTTATACACCTTTAATATTGGCTAGTTTTGTCCTAAGTCGGTAAAGCACACATGTCATTCAAGATGAAATGCTGGAATCCCAGTTTCATTATTCTTTCAAAAAATTCTATGAAGAGTACATCATTTTTTGAAATAGTTATTAATGTATCAAGCGTTGTCTTAAATGTTTAAATATAACCACAAATATTCAATTTAATACAAATGCCTCAGTCAAGTTTGCAGCATATAGTGGCCGTAGCTTCATAAAATCAATATAGAATATCTACATCATACTGCTTATCCTCATATTTTATGCTGCATATTTCTCTTGATTTTGAGAAACTACGGCAGCTGTACGGTTGCTGTAGATCAAATGTGACTGAGGCATAAGAAGTTGCAACAAATATTCTGATGTGTCATATTTAGTTATTAATGTAATGTGGTACTAGTTATTAATGTTTGTATATTACAACAAATATTTCATTTATTATCAAGAAATTGGCACTAATGTACCATATATAAAGCATGAATTATTATTTATCATTGTAAAGTATTTTAATCTACATTTATATGTAGTATTACGAAGAACCTACCTTTTGATAACTTAGATATACCACTGGCTCCTTGCTGCTTCTCAATGTAAGAATCCTTGCATTTTATAGTTTCTATTCCATTATGATTGGAATTATTACCATTTTCTGTTTGAACAGTTTTGTTTTCATCTTCATGCTCTGCTTCCACTTCATCATTTTTCACTGGCGCATGAGTGTCTTCTTCATCTGTGTTGTTGTTGATTTCATTGTTTTCTTGAACTACATGTATGATGTCAATCTCTTCCAGTTCACTGTTCTTACCATGAGATGATACACTAGCCTCAGCCTCATTTTCAACATGGCTTGTTATTGTGGTGGTTATATGGTCATCAGTTTGTTTCATGTTTTCATTTTCAGCTGTTTCTTTGAATGATTTCTTTGTTGTGACTCTCGTGAATGCAGACGTGTGGTGATCTTCCCATGGGCTGAAGGCATCTGCGAAGGTGTCTTGATTTTTAAATTTTGATTGACAACTTGTCTCTGATACACTTTGGGCTAGTTTCATTGGTTCTGATGGAGAATGAAGTATCTCTGATGGTGCATGTAGTCGTTCTGATGGAGCATGGAGTCTGTCTGACGGAGCATGGAGTCTCTCTGATGGTGCATGAAGTCTCTCTGATGGTGCATGAAGTCTGTCTGATGGTGCATGAAGTCTCTTTGCTTGGCTCATAATCATCTGAGGGTATGGACCAATTCCTAGGTGATTGGCCCATATGAACTCATAAGGGTAGTGGCCATCTTGCTGTCTCCCAAACACAGAGTTTTGGGGCATCTTTGAATAATCTGTATGTGGTTTTGGATAAGTATATGGTAGAGCGAAGGCTGGATGTGGACTAAATGGGTATGTTAGTTTTGGTAATGGTACGTTGCATGTAGATGCTGTGTCCCTTGGACTTCCTTCGTGATACTGTTGTTCTTTCTTGTGACGTTTCAGGTGTGCATGTTCTTTATTTGCCTGCTGTGGCAACGATGAATGGTTCAGGGTCCGTTTACGGCTTCCTCCATTGAACATCGCCTTCACATCTTCCCAGGCTGAGATTAGTTCTTCAGAATGGTTTGTTCCACATAACTTCAGATGGCGTCGCCATGAGTTGAAATTTGCAGCATCTGGGTGGTTGTATTTTGCCTCAGGAGTTCTATGGAAATGAAATATGAACTTGTTTGGAGAGAAGTATAGGTTACACAAGTTACATTTGATGCACTTGGCTCTAGAGCTGTTGTAGCGAGAAGGAGTAAAGCTACCTGTGCATCCCCAACCGCATTCATGGAAGCAATCAAAGGCAAAATCGTCTGGCAGTTTGGGAGGGGTATTATCTTCTAGGAAAGACTTAACGAGTCTTTCTGCTTCACGTTTTGTAATCATCCCACATCGTCTTGAAGAAATAGGCATTGCTCCTGCTCTGCGAAGTATCTCTAGCTGCACGGGTGTGCACTGGACGCATGTGATCCCTAAAGCAACTCTGCGATTATGTATTTCATTGTAGCTGTATTGCTTGAGTAAGGTATTTGAGATTTGTGCCAAGCATAACCTCTCTTGACCGTCAATGAATAGACAGACAATTGGGACGCCATGTAGCATTACACTGTTGACCTGGTTGTTACGGAGAATCTGCGAGACAGTATGCGACTCCTTAGGGAGAGAGGCTGACATGACATGTTGTGATCCTATATGAGAGGTTACTGTGGGAATTATGCGAGGCTCTGCGTGAGAGGATGATGACACAATGGTATCTCCCAAAATATCCTTAACATCCATGCTGTTGATAACTCCTGAAAACAAAGGATCCAAAATTTTGATATTTAAGAACAGATCAGATAACGTGACATTTCGTAGAAAATTCCCTAAACTTGAATATTCATCTGTTTAAGTCATAGCCTAGGCTTTCAACTGGTTTAAGTGGATCAATTCTCATTGTGTCTGATTATCATACAAATGAAATTATGTCCAGTAAAAGAAAATATTACCTATTGAACACAAGAAAAGATTTATTTTGTGATTTTATGACATGTGGTCTATGGGGAAACTACTCAACCTAGAAGTCACATTTTCAAAGAAAAATGAATTTTCAAAGTTGATATATAATTTTTTAAACCATATTTCTAGATTTAATTTCACTTTGACCAAATAAATTTTGACTATTTAATGACATAAATCAAGATTATTTCTACTTGCAAATCTAGAAATACGATTTTATATTTAATTGTTCATTCAATATGAAAGATGGTTTAACAAAGAATGAATAACTTACATGTTTTAAAACATTTGTTGGTATCTACTGGGGTTATAGATAAAGTAAGGTCAGGTGATTGGTCAGTTTAAATATGGAAAAAACATTTCTGGATTTAAATCGGAATTATGTTGAATTGAACAATGTACTTCAATTTAGTTCAAAAAGTGTTAGGTGAATGGTTTTAAGAATTAAAAATCCATGATTAACTGCACTTTCCTAGTTCAAAAATTCATACCTTATATGGTTATTTCATGGTTATTCATTCCAATCTCAAATGGATACTAGTCCCTTTAATGTCAACAGAATTCACAAATTCAAAATAAAAAGCAGTAATTTCAAATTAGTACTAAAGCATGAATTATTTTGGATAATAGGAAATGAATTGAAAAAAGAAGAACCATTTAGAGAATATTTATTTATAGAGTATTTAGACAATACTACTAATGTTTAAGGCGATACCCCCTAAAATGAATAATGAGAAACTTACAAAAGAGAGGAATGAACAAAAAAATGGAGTAAACAAGTGTGTTGTTAATACCCAACATTTTGAGAGAAAGAGCATGGAAATTAGAGGCAAGAAAGGAGTAAAAAGTTAGCTAGGGTAATTTTAATTATTTGGACATTATGGTAAAATCAGGATTAGAACTAGATTAGTTCAATATATAATATTAGATTAGATTAATGAGGGGCAGGGTGAAGTTGCGGTGTCCATCCCATAATATCAATGATTTACGGCCATTCTGTGTTCCCTTCTTACCATTAGTTAAATGTAGACGGCAGTTAATCGGCATCTAGGGTAAAATTAGACAATAGCTCGTTATCAAAATAAAGTAACGAATGATAGTATTCGCGTTAAAGATGAGATATAATGACACATCTGAGACCAGATATAAACGATTTCAATTAGAATTAGTTTGGTTAAATATCGCTAGTGAAATGATCGAGTTGTGATTTTATGTTATTTGTAGCTTAGGTCTTTAACATTGAATCATTTGAAAATTAATAAACTGTTGTTTGAAGGCTTATCTTCAACTCAACATTTTTTAATATGAAAGAAGGAGAAAGGGACGAGTAAGAAATACTAAGAAAAGATTTTTAGGATTTCTGAGTATTTTGGATTTAATTGAAATGGTCAGTAAAGACTCATTTGAGCAGGGAAATTGTTTAAAAAGCAATCGGAGTAAACAGCAAGAGCAAATAATGCAGGAACCTACTGGCATTGATTTTAATTACTGGCTTTAATTTTTCACCTTATGACGGTATACTCTTAAATTTTTTCTTTTTCTTACCGTGTTCTGTCACCCTTTTTTTATATTTTCCCATTGGCACTTGCGTCACATATATACTCAAGACTCTAGCATGTAAGTCACATTGGAATGATATGATGAACATGACATTCAGATCTATGACTGCCCATCTTGTTTATGAAATTGTCCTTCTCCTTATTCTACATAATGATTCACCTACAATTTGAGGCAAATTAGATTTATTTTGTTCTTTTCTAACTCTTTTTAAAAACAACCAAATCTTTCATAATTTTGTAGAGCACAATATTTTTCAGATCCTACTATCTCAACTTATACCATGATCATGACTGCCACAGGTAGTTAAAACATCTGAAAACAATACTTTGAGTTATGAAGGTATGAGACAAGAAAACATAATCTCATTACTTACCAGATGATAATCATATTTAGAGAAAATACATGTATACTATTTTATGCTACATCTTATTGTGTTTACTTCTGGCATTAATTACAGTGTATGAATATATTTTGGTTTTTGAGATGTCATTGCATATGTGGTAGAGCAAGAATATAATTTGGTATTACTACCTGTTGTTTTCAAATTAATGTAAAGTTGATGAGACAAATTGACTTTTGAGCAAACACTTTGGCCACTCAGTATAGCCATTTTTCAGCCTTCTTCTAAGCCTCTGTGCTATATTTTGCAACAGAGCATGAAGAAAAACTTTAACAAGAGGAAACATGACTTTTAAATGTGTGAAAATCTGTAGAAACATTATAATTTATAAAAGAAGACAAGCATGGATAAACATACATGGATAAATAGATGGCACTAGTGTTTTGGTTAGGCTAGAATAGCATTTCATTATGTTACAATATCAGAAGTGATACGGCTCCTTTCTCGAGTACAAGGTAAACCAGGCCTTGTAAAAATTGCATTTGGCACAGTTGACGAAAAAATTGCTGTTCTGAGAAACAAAATAAATCAAGCTAATTTTTTAATTTATCAAAATTCTAATTTGATAAATGTAAAACTCCATTTGAACGATTGAAATGATTCAACAAGATGATCTTACTGACATATTGTGATTTAACCCTAATATTGTGATCGTTAAAAGAGTAAATCAAATCAACAAAAAATCTTTACTCTCTGGTTTATCCATAGTTTAAAACATAATCAAAACTAAAATGATAAAGTTCACACAAGTTATAAATTAATGCAACTCTTTTATATTTGGAGTTTATAACTTGATCGTGACATCATGTTTTTTTTTGATAAATATTATTATGCCATTAATGAGTAAAATGATAAAGTTCACACAAGTTATAAATTAATGCAACTCTTTTATATTTGGAGTTTATAACTTGATCGTGACATCATGTTTTTTTGATAAATATTATTATGCCATTAATGAGTAAAATGATAAAGTTCACACAAGTTATAAATTAATGCAACTCTTTTATATTTGGAGTTTATAACTTGATCGTGACATCATGTTTTTTTGATAAATATTATTATGCCATTAATGAGTAAAATGATATAGTTCACACAAGTTATAAATTAATGCAACTCTTTTATATTTGGAGTTTATAACTTGATCGTGACATCATGTTTTTTTGATAAATATTATTATGCCATTAATGAGTAAAATGATAAAGTTCACACAAGTTATAAATTAATGCAACTCTTTTATATTTGGAGTTTATAACTTGATCGTGACATCATGTTTTTTTGATAAATATTATTATGCCATTAAATGAGTAAAATGATAAAGTTCACACAAGTTATAAATTAATGCAACTCTTCTATATTTGGAGTTTATAACTTGATTGTGACATCATGTTTTTTTGATAAATATTATTATGCCATTAATGAGTAAAATGATAAAGTTCACACAAGTTATAAATTAATGCAACTCTTTTATATTTGGAGTTTATAACTTGATCGTGACATCATGTTTTTTTGATAAATATTATTATGCCATTAAATGAGTAGAAGGATAAAGTTCACACAAGTTATAAATTAATGCAACTCTTTTATATTTCGAGTTTATAACTTGATCGTGACATCATGTTTTTTTGATAAATATTATTATGCCATTAAATGAGTAGAAGGATAAGATGTGAGCTTCTTGGTTAACAATTCCCAAATTAGGATTTTCTGTAAAACACTTTAATGTTGTTTTGAAACATACATAAAAAGGAAATAAAAATAATTAATTGCTGTTTGTACATGTATCAGAAGATTAAGCGTATAATGCCTAACTCTGCCTTAGAATTCTGCAATTATTAATTAAGAATTATAATTGTATCGCTAGTGGTGCAAAATCATTAATCTCACCTCAACTAATTAAGTCTAACTTGATTAGGCCTGAGTTAATTAGGGTTTAAAGATCTACATACTTCTGAAAACATATTGGGACACTGACCCCAGAATTGTGTGCACAGTTCTGCAGTTATTGCGTCCAAAATCTCATTTTCGTAATTTCATAATTGATCATTTTTTTGCATTTTTTAAGTGTTATGTATTTTTTAAGTGGAAAGTACATTAGTTCTCAAATGGTAGCAAGCTTATTTTCAAAGTCTCAAGTGGGTGCAGTGCATCAATGGGGTGATAACTGCACCATGAGAAACAGCACCCAGTTTCATATATGAAACACTGTCATATACTGTATTACATAACTACAATACTAAAAAATTATAAAAATTTGAGAAATTGAAATAATTTTAACCAAAAAACATCCAAACTAAAAACAAGACCTATGTTGACATGTAAACTTGATATAACTTCATACCATTTATCATTGCCACTAAATACGTATATGTAAACATGTTATTGTAGATATAATGAAGATGTTCTCCAAATATCTGCAATGTAGATTGCAGGTATTTCTTAAATATAAGATTATTTAAAAAAAGTTCAGCTTACCTGTGAAAAATTGGATATGGCCCCGTCTCTCTGTTTCTAGTTGAATTTCTCTAAATGTAGAATTTGTTAAACGAGGGTCTTTTTCTCGCAGTCAGTTGTCCATATAGATGTCCTTATCTTTGGTGATGCGAGTGTGTTATAAGAATACCCCAGTCTGCTTGTCTTAGATATAGCAAAGATATCAATTAATTAATCTCATCAATGCCGCAAAATGTCCGTATGCTCATGCTTATTTCACTCATTTCTCTCTAAACTTTGAATGTAGTGT